TTTTTGTTCACTTATATTGACTAGAAGTACTTGCAATATAAATGATATGCAATTAGATACTGTAGAATTAGGCTAGCTATAGACAGCTATAGGAATTATTGCTTATCTGTAGTAGCTCTATAGCACTCTAGAGCAAGGGACTTGTCTATAGGGCCCTGATAGCTATAACACCTATATAGCACTATAGATCTCTATATAGATATAGTGATTTTTCCTGATGGACCTCATACACCCTGATAAAGTGCCTTCGCCTTCACAGAATCATATATATCACAGGATTTTTCTTGAATGTTATTGGCTCATTACTACTGACTCTTACGGTATGCTTCCTAGCGTAAATCCTTAATTTTTACTATACATTACTCTCTGAGAGACCCCCAAAAATGCTGATGTCAGTCACTATGATATGCACAAGGGTGCAGCTGGTTACACACAACTGTGACAATATGCATGGACTGCAGGATCTTCATTCCGTGTCTGGGCTTATGTACAAATTGCCACGTATTATCTACCATACTTTGAAGTCAAGGGAGTAACCTACTAGTACCCTCTAAGTCTTCGCTTCATGCTGGCCACCCAGGTCTGGGCAATCAGGTGGCTGGCCGCATAAAAGGTTTTTGGATTCAAACATCGGATTATTCCCACAGATACACTGAAGAACTCTGGTGAACACCATGCCATTGATACCAAAAGCTGGCAAATTCTGTGTTCTGCGCCATGCAGAAGGGTTTCTTTGGAGATATAAGCACCATAGAAGATGCTGTGGCTTCATCCACAGTTGCAGGGTTGCCCAGCTGATGTTCACGCAAACCTCCCAAGGACCTGATGAGGCTGGCAAAGGACTTGCGCATGCAAGAATAAACAAATGTGAATTCAAGCGGTTTTCCTGATGCGCGTGTGCTATGAGTCCAATTCACCACCTCCCCCTAACCCATTTCAATCCACAACAAATCTCTCTCTCTGTGCCCTAACCACCCCCATGGCACTCATCAAATCCCACACCACATCTTGTGAGAGACATAAGTTTGTCTCTGATACCACCTACATTATACATGACTGCAAAACCCAGATTCACCAAAATTGGAGGGTGGATGAACCTTTTGCTCATGTCTGTGTAACCATTTGGAGGGATTTTGACTCAGGGCACTTTTGAGCATACCCTGGGCCTTTGTCAGGAATTGTGTCATACCTCCAGCTATCATACTATGAGGTCTTTGCCGTCAAGGTGTTGAAGCTCAGAAGAGCTGGGGAGCGAAATAGCCACTCAGTGGGCTGCCTGAAGCACTAGAACTATAGATCCAGAGTAATTAACGATATATTGAAGTACTATAGTAGCATACTTATAGGTACAGAGTATTCTGAGAATCATCAATATCAGGGTGTTTCCTAAATGACATCATTGGCAACTATGTCAATTCAGTTAATTCATGGGAGATGTTGAAGGCTGACACCACAAGGCTATTTGAAGAATACACAGATGTGGAAGTTGTCTCAGATCCATAGTAGGACAGGTGAAAGGCTCGCGAGACAGACCCTGAAGCACTACCTGTTACAAATGGGCGAGTGACCACGGAGGGAAAAGATGACCACACTAGGGATTGAACCCAGGACCTCCTGGACATATACCAGTCGCTCTTAGAGAACCACTGAGCTATATGGTCAAGAGTAATATGACATTTGCATTGAAGTCCCTTGCTGCCATTGATCAGATCATCGCAAAACTGGCCAAACACTTCAAACTGCGTGATCTGGGTGCTACCACACAGTTGCTAGACATCAAGATTGATCGAGACCGCTCCAAGTGCACCATTTCCCTCTCCCAGCGCCAGTACACCCTTGGAACCCTTTGACATGGCAGACTGCAAGCCTGTCTCCACTCCCATGCTGCCTAACTCACATCTTACACGCTCTATGTCGACTCCAGAAGACCGGAAACTCATGGCAAGCATCCCCTATGACCTAGCCTCCAGCACTCGCACAGACATTGCATACACTGTCAGCACTCTTGCTCGATTCATTACTGACCCTGGACTCGCCCATTGGAACACTATGAAGCACCTTCTGCACTATCTCAAAGGCACACTTGACTACTACATTGTCTATGCTCTCTGACACTGATCATGGTGGATGCAAGGACAATAGACGCTCTACTGGTGGATACCTCGTCAAAATCGGACAGGCACTGTCTCCTGGCGCTCCAAGCTTCAAAACACCGTCACTTTGTCTACCACTGAAGCAGAATACATAGCTGCTGTGGAAGCAGGCAAGGAGATTGTCTGGCTGTGCAAGCTGCTGCTAGGGATGGGCTTCCCTTCAACTGCGCCTTCTGTGCTCCATATTGACAACCAGTCAGCCATTCAGGTGGCAAAGCATCCAGAGCACCATGGGCACATGAAACATCTCGATCTGTGCTTCTACTGGCTTCGGGACACTGTGGACAAGGGGATCATTGCTCCCACCATTGTACCAACAGCAGACCAGCCTGCAGACCTCCTCACCAAGCCTCTGTATTGTCTCAAGGTCGAGTTATTCCGTCCTATGTTTGGACTGGTGCCTAGAAGCTCTTGATTGCTAGATGTGCACAATCATGGGGGAGTGTTCGCTGTGCTGATTGTGCACTGCCTTGGTCCAGTGCACTGCTGTGCACACTGGTACTGTACAGCTCTTGCTGTGTTCGCTTACATTATTTGCTGTACTCACTGCCATGCTGTGCTAGCTGTGTATGCACAGCCCATACTGTAGATATATAGCTAATGTCCATAGTCAGTTTCCTTAGTTACTTACTCTGGACATTAGTCCCAGTGTTTAAGGCAGCCCCCCTAGTGGCAATTTCGCTCCTATAGCTCTCTGAGCTTTAACACAAGGACACATCAACTTGCAGCATCAATTATGTGGCTGACAGCACCAAGTGTCTATAGGCTGTTAGATGAGCACTAGACATCATCCAACACTACCTCCATGATGCACTGATATCCCAAGAGTTCACTAATGCCATGGAGTCTGGTGGTTCAGGTTGTGTTGTTCTTGTGCTGAAGATTTGGGCCCTGAGCTACAGAGGGAGTGAACACACTAGTGGGGCCGCCTTAAGTACTGGGACTGTGAGTCCAGAGTAAGTAACCAAAGGAAACTTGCAGCTATATATCTACAGTATGGGCAGCGCATACACAGCCAGCACAGCATGGCTGTGAGTACAGCAAACATAGTAGGTGAACATAGCAAGATATAAGCAGTACAGTACCTGTGTGCACAGCAGTGCACAGGATCATGGGAGTGCGGAATCACCAGAGCGAACAGGCACGTGAGAATGAAGGTAGCTATAATAGCTATAAAAGCACATATAGTTAAGGGTGTATCTATAGAGAATTTGGATTTTTCCTGATGTCAGAAATACGACGGGAGTTCCAGGAAGGTCCAAAATAAAGAGCACTTTCTACTCCACAGATACACTGTATAGATTTGCATGTACTAAGCCCACTGTGACTTGGTGTTTAGGGTTGTTTGTTGTGGTGATTCCGCACTCTCTGGTGCGCACTGCTTCTATCCTGTGCACTGCTGTGCACACTGCTACTGTACAGCTTCTTCTTACTATGCTGCACTGATACCTTATGCTATACTCACTGCATTGCTGTGTTGGCTGTGTATGCACAGCCTATCCTGTAGATATATAGCTACGATGTCCATAGTCAGTGCCCTAGTTACTTACTCTGGACTTCAGATATGCTGTACTTATGATCTACCACAATATAGTTACTTACTCTGGACATCAGTCCTAGTGCTTCAGGCAGCCCCTTTAGTGGCTATTTCGCTCCTCAAGCTCTCTGAGCTTTAACAGGTTATGAGCCCCGCGCTCTAGCCACTTCTAGCGTCCTTGGACCGTCCTCAACACGTGACCACTCCTTGGTTGAGCCCTGCTCCCAATACTGTCTTATCTGCACTACAATGAACTCCAAGACTTGTACCTTGCTTTCACCACATCTTAAGCAATGCAGATGCGCCTCTAAGGCTCCCTGCTTGTTCTGTGCACTCCCTGGCCACCGTGTCCACTCCTGCGTGGTCATGCGCACTTACCAGCCTCAATACACTCGGCATCGTCGTTCCCAGCATTCCAGGACTTCCAAACAGCCCCATACACCACCCCAAGTTGTTCCAGCATCGCAGTACTCTGGGAAGATCACAGAATATGCCATGAACACTGTCCTGCGCTCTTTTGACCCCACAGATCCATTCTGCCCTCTCCAGCTCAATGCTGATGTAGACTGGATAGCAGACACTGGTGCAACATCGCACATGACTCCCTATCGTCACTGGATGCGCAATTACCAGCCTCATCGTGTTCCTATCAAGCTAGCAGACAACAACATCGTTTTCTCTGCTGGAATAGGCACTGTGGTCTTCAATCCAATGGTGGAAGGCAAACCAAGCAGATCCGTCGAGTTTTCGCGCGTTCTACATGTCCCAGACCTCCAGACAAACCTCCTAGCAGTCCTATACCTCACCAAGCACAAGGGCTTCATTGTGACCATCAACTCGACACATATGACCTTCTTTCACTCTGGAAACACTGCTCTCTTTACTGCATCGATCAATAGCAATAGTGCCGCGCATCTGGACGGTTTAACTGTCCCTAACTGTGAATCAGCCTCTCCTGCCTCGACACTTCCCCTAGATCTCGCTCTGTGGCACAGGAGGCTTGCCCATCATCATATTGGGGGTGTCAAAACACTGATTGATCGCAATCTGGTCACTGGATTGAAGCTAGAGTCAAAGGCCCTTCCAGATCCTATCTGTGAGCCATGTCCGGCTGGCAAGATGCATGTCAATCCCTTCTCATCGTCGCTGTACAGGGCTGAGGACCTGCTTGTATTGGTTCACATGGATGTCCACCAGCTTCCTACCGCACTTTCCAAGGATTCTGGTACTGGGCCGCCTTCATCTGCGACTATTCGAGATTTCGAGTTGTTATCCCTCTCAAGGCCAAGTCAGACACCTTTGCAGCCTTCAAACAGTTCCAGGCCTCTATGCTGAGAACCAGACTGGGCGCAAGATCAAGGTCTTGAGGGATGATAAAGGAGGGGAATACATGTCCAACAAGTTCCTCAAACACACGACGGACTGTGGCATTGTGCGCCAGCACACTGTGCGAAATAGGCCTCAGCAGAACGGCGTTGCTGAAAGAGCCAACAGAGTGCTTGCAGAGCGCATCACAGCGATGCTGGATGAATCAGGGATGGCCAATGCATTCTGGGGAGAATGCCTGGCTGCCCTGGTGCATGTCTGGAACAGGTGCCTCTGGGTGACCAAGTGTTATCCGGAAAAGATCCCACCCCATTGGGTGGGCAAAAAGGCAAGAAAAAGAAGCAACCAGCTTCTACAGTCGAAACCCCGGAGCTGATCAGCGCCGATCCCAAGATCGACGCAGATAACTCGGAGATGAACACAGGGCCTACTGACCCTACAGCTAAAAATAGCGAAAGTGCCCAGGAAGGGGCATCCGAGCAAAGCTTGAAGGCCGCGGGAAAGCAGCCAGAAGTGGTGCAAGAGAGCACCGTGGGGGAAGTAGAGAGTGCGCAGTCAACTGCGTGACAACCATCAGAATCAATGGAAAATTGACTCCGGCGTATGCTGGAGCAAGGGCTCAAAAGCGAGCTAAGAAGAAGTCAAGTGGACGCACTAGCTCCCACGGAAGTACTGGCAAACACCATTGATAACTTCCTACGGGATGTAGGGGACCGGTGGAGGTCGAGAGACAGAGGGGACGCACTTGTGTCCAGCCATGGGGTAAACCCCTACTGGCAGAACGCCCACACAATTGAGCGCATGTGCGCTGCAGTTCACAAGGTAATGTGCCTCGAAGAATCAGAACCGTCAGGTTTGGGGAATGAGCGTGCTGGCACCACAGCGCACTATAAGTTAGCCCGAACGGACGAAATATATGGGGCAGAAGCCCCCCAAGTGGTTAAGCAGGAGGTGGAAGACCCTCGCGAAGCAGCCAGAAGACTGGCTAGACAGTGACACGGTGTAGAAAATAATGTGCCCTACCTTAGTGGTAGGGACAGTGACATAATGTGTCACATACAAAATATAGAGCGACGAATGTCGCCAAGGGAGTTAGGCCTTTATTGAAATGGGCTCAGCTAAAATCAATTATTAAATCAATAAAAATAGTAGGAATTGATCACAAATATATAGCAACAATAGAATATATCCAAAAGCGCTAGTGAAAAGCAAGACTAGTAAATGTTGTGTAGTGACTCCACAGATTAATAATCAGTTAAAATGAAATAACAAATACTAGAAATAAAAATAGCAGAAATAGCGACAATAGGATATATTCGAAAGTGCTAGTGAAAGGCTATTTGAGACTAGTAAATGACTCCATAGATTTAAACACTAGTCAACACCACTTTCATTAACTTATTGTAACTTATGATCAGGAGTGTTTAATTATGCTTATATTGAACTCAAATCACCCTTTTGCAGAAATAAATTCATGATAAGGAAAAATAAGAACATAGATTTTACGGATACCACTTTCACCAGGTCTTACAAGGAGACTTATGGTGAACAAAGTAAAGGAAAAGATGTAGTGACATAATGAGGTGTAATATTATATCCACGTCCACTGTAAAGCTGACCACACAGATCTGGTGCACAAAATGAG